CATCCATGCAACGAAAAAACGCATACTATCGAAAGTGTATGTGTGTATGTATGTGCATGTGTGTGCGTGTGCGCGCGTGTGTGTGCATGTGTGTATAAACGTGTATGTACGCGTGCATGTACATACGTATGTATGCGCGCACACATGTGTGTTTATGTGTGTATGCACGTGTGTAAGCATGCATGTATGTGTGTATGCATGTGTTTGTATGCGTGTGTGTATGTGCGTTTTTTGTATGTGCATATGTATGTGTGCACGCATGTGTGTATTTGTGTATACTTGTCTATGAATGTGCACATGCGTGTATGTATATGTGCATGTGTGTGTATGTATGTGTGTACGTGTATGTATGTGCGCATGTATGTGTGTATGTACGTGTGTGTGCGCGCATGTGTGTGTATGTACGTGTGTGTGCGCATGTGTATGTATGTGCGTGTGTGTGTATAAGCGTGCATGTATGTATGTATATATGTGTGTGTTCATGTATGTGTGTGTTTGTGTATGAATGTGGGTGCATGTATGTGCACGTGCATATGTGCATGCATATGTATGTATGTATGCGTGTATGTACATTTATGTGTGTATGTACGTGTATTTATGTGTATTTATATATATTTACGTGTTTGTACGTGTATTAGGTGTATTTATTTGTGTACGTTTATTTATGTGTGTATGTGTATTTGCTTGTATGTGTGTATGCATGTGTGTATGGCGTATGTGCGTGAATGCATGTGTGTGTGTGCATTTGTATGTATTTGTGCGGTATGTGCATATGTGTATTCAGTCTCTCTCAATGCCTGTTGGCTTGCCAAAAATATAACTGTTTTACACTTTCGTATATGGAAAAATAGTAGATATGTTGCCTGGCTCCTAAGGTGAGAAATTTTCCACTGAAAATTTCACGTCCCGGTACGTGAAAGCTGAATTTGAAAACATGGATGAGGAACATCCTTCCAAATTTCAACCTTCTAGTTTTTCGGTTTCCGAGCTAGTGACTAAAGTTCTTACGCGGTCTTACGTAAAACCCCTGCACACCTGGCAACTAAACTTGAGTTTGAGAGATATCTGCAGCGGCAGAAAATATCGTCCTGAAATTTCAGCTTCCTAGCTATCATGGCCCCTGAGATAATTTTTCGTCAAAACTTTCACGGGGCCGTACGTGAGATCCAAGCGCATGGGAAAAATGAATTTAAACTTTTTGGGTTGCACGTGGTCAAGAGGCATACCCGTAAAATTTTAGCTCCCTAGCTTCGGGGTACCCGAGACAATGATTTCACCCGCCAACAATTTCACGAAGCCGTACGTGTTACTCGCGAGTACAGGGAGGTTGAATTTGAGTTTTCTGGGTCGTACGTGGTCAGGGGACACACCCATAAGATTTCAACTTCCTAGCTTCCATGGTTCCCAGGATAATAATTTTACCGCTCAAATTTTTACGTGGCCGTACCCGCAGACACAGGAGGGGGTGTTACCCGCAGACACAGGGAGGCTGAATTTAAATTTGCGGGGTCGCACGTGGGTGGGGAACGTTCCCATAAATCTTCAGCTCCCTAGTTTTTGTGGTCCCCGAGTTGAAAGTGCGGGACAAAATGTGGGGGACACACACACACAAGCGCACACACACAGACAACCCAGTGACAATATGCATTTTGTACTGCTGTTGCACAGCATAAAACGCATAAAA